CAGCTAGCTGTAAAACAGAGAGCTAGCAGGAAGCTGCGGTGATGACCGAGAGGGTGGGATGGGGGGCTGGTGACAGGAGGCAGGCTCGAGAGGCTGGGGACTCACTTCTTTGTACAGCAGAGACCGACAGCATGGTAAAGCGGTTAAACTCCAATAACAATAATAATAAAAAGACATGTGAACGTGCTTAATGTTGCAAGTGCTTGAAGTCAGGAGTGAAAAAGGCCTTGCCAAGGCTTGGTGCAGGGCAGGTGAGTCAGGCCCTCTTCTGGGAGGAACTGAGGTCTGGTGGACAAACAAGGAGTTCTAACCACAGCCCAGTTATTAGTCCACAGGAAACATCCTGTTACGCTTATAAAGATGAAGTGTTACTTTCTTATTTTTTTTTGTAAAAGAAGTTTCTAAAAGTCTTCCTTTCCATTCTGATTCATTTCAAATCTGTGAGGCAGGAAGGTCTCAGGGCAGCCATGCCTGCAACATTAGCTAATCAGACTCCCAAGAAACATTCCATTCCGCTTAGGAGGGCTTTGGAGAATGGTTTGCTCATGGTGGCTTTTAAAATAAACTGAGGGTTGCCAGGCTGAATGGACTCCCTGCGGGGCCTGTGACCTGGTTCCAGGCCGGTGCCCAGCGGGCTTGCCTCCTGCTGGGTTGGCGGACCTCTCATTAAACATGGTTGCCTTGCCTGTGCCCCGTTCTCGGGGGATGAAGTGGAAAGTCTTGTACCTTCTGTCCCTTCCTGTTTTAAAACTGGGGAAACTGAGGCCCAAGAGCATCAGGAGAAAAGTAATAACAACAGCCAATGCATAGAACACTTTATATTAACTTACCTACAAAGGTCAAGGCGAGGGTCACCATGGCATAGTGGCAAGTAAGATACAGCTTCAGATCCTGGTTTTGACTCTCTGAAGCTGTGTGATCGTGTATAAGTAACTAAACCTCTCTGAGAGGTAGTTTTTTAGCTCCTCAAATATTGATAATGATGCCTATTCTAAAGAGCTGTTGTGAGCAGTAGAAACAATGGTTGTAAAGTACCTAGAGTAATGACTGGCATGTAGATAGTACCTGATCAGTGGTCTTAATTATTAGTAGGGTCGCAATGTGGGCCAGCCACAGGATAAATGGTGTCTTCCAACCCTTCATGGACAGAGAAGCCTGGTGGGCGGGTTAGTCCGTGGGGTCTGAGCACAGCACATAGCACAATCCTGCTTGACTACAAGAATGGCCCGGGGAGCTGGTGAAAAATGCAGATGCGGTTTAAAAAGGCACGGGGGACGTCTAAAGCGCCAGGGGGTGGCCCTGGCCCATTTCGCAACGCCTCCAGGAAGCCTTCCCCCAACCCCCTGCTGGCAGTCCCTCTGCACCTGGCCCTGTCTTCAGCGAAGACTGGGCTCGAGGGTAGACATGATTAAAAGGTCAAATATCATCACATACTCTCAAAGAGAATGTGCCTTGAACTTTACACAGTAGATTTCTTCCTGGGAAGCTGCCTGCAAATAGAATTTGGTGTGTGTGTGTGTGTGTGTGTGTGTGCACGCGAACAGATGTATATTTAACACCTTAGTTTGCTATTTAAAGGAATGCAACCAATGCAGCTAAATAAATATTATATGTGTGACTATTACGTGCTGGGGATACAGTGACCAATAAGAGGCAGGCCCTGTCTTCAAGGGTCTTGCTTAGAGTCCAGTGTGGCAGATAAGGTTAGCACAGGTTTGACGGAGGGAAAGGGGTACCCAATGCAGGGCTGGGGCGCCTGGGAAAGCTCTAGGGAAGGTGGTTTCTCGGGGGATGAAGTGGAAAGTCTTGTACCTTCTGTCCCTTCCTGTTTTAAAACTGGGGAAACTGAGGCCCAAGAGCATCAGGAGAAAAGTAATAACAACAGCCAATGCATAGAACACTTTATATTAACTTACCTACAAAGGTCAAGGCGAGGGTCACCATGGCATAGTGGCAAGTAAGATACAGCTTCAGATCCTGGTTTTGACTCTCTGAAGCTGTGTGATCGTGTATAAGTAACTAAACCTCTCTGAGAGGTAGTTTTTTAGCTCCTCAAATATTGATAATGATGCCTATTCTAAAGAGCTGTTGTGAGCAGTAGAAACAATGGTTGTAAAGTACCTAGAGTAATGACTGGCATGTAGATAGTACCTGATCAGTGGTCTTAATTATTAGTAGGGTCGCAATGTGGGCCAGCCACAGGATAAATGGTGTCTTCCAACCCTTCATGGACAGAGAAGCCTGGTGGGCGGGTTAGTCCGTGGGGTCTGAGCACAGCACATAGCACAATCCTGCTTGACTACAAGAATGGCCCGGGGAGCTGGTGAAAAATGCAGATGCGGTTTAAAAAGGCACGGGGGACGTCTAAAGCGCCAGGGGGTGGCCCTGGCCCATTTCGCAACGCCTCCAGGAAGCCTTCCCCCAACCCCCTGCTGGCAGTCCCTCTGCACCTGGCCCTGTCTTCAGCGAAGACTGGGCTCGAGGGTAGACATGATTAAAAGGTCAAATATCATCACATACTCTCAAAGAGAATGTGCCTTGAACTTTACACAGTAGATTTCTTCCTGGGAAGCTGCCTGCAAATAGAATTTGGTGTGTGTGTGTGTGTGTGTGTGTGTGCACGCGAACAGATGTATATTTAACACCTTAGTTTGCTATTTAAAGGAATGCAACCAATGCAGCTAAATAAATATTATATGTGTGACTATTACGTGCTGGGGATACAGTGACCAATAAGAGGCAGGCCCTGTCTTCAAGGGTCTTGCTTAGAGTCCAGTGTGGCAGATAAGGTTAGCACAGGTTTGACGGAGGGAAAGGGGTACCCAATGCAGGGCTGGGGCGCCTGGGAAAGCTCTAGGGAAGGTGGCATTGCAGGAAGAGACCTCTATGCTGGAACCTGGTCTCAAATCCTTCTGGAAAGAGAACGGTCCTTCCCTAATTCATCCTTGGGGAAAAAATGAACTTTCACACCATGTCACCCTGGATTCATTTACACAGTCAGGCAGCTGCACAAATACGGGGTTCTTGCCATGGGTCAGGCACTGAGTGAGGTGTTGTGGGCAGCTCGGGAGAGAAAGGCCCAATCCCTACCCTCAGGGAGTTTATACCACACCTGTTTATGACCCAACAGGATTATTCAGGTCTTAAGTCCTGTTCCTGAAAACACTGTTTATTCTCTTTCATTGCCATGTTGCAGAGAAATGCAGTTCCGGCCAACACAACCATGAGCATTGTATTTCATCCAGGAGAAACTCCAAGTGTGTGCAGGCATCCCCAGGGCTGCTTACAGACCCTCCCTGAAGTGATGGGAGGCTTCCGAGGTGGCCCAGTGGTACAGAATCCTCCTGCCAATGCAGGAGATGCAAGAGATGAGGGCTAGAGTCCTGGATCAAGAAGATCCCCTGGAGAAGGAAATGGCAACCCACGCCAGGAGTCTTGCCTGGAGAACCCCATGGACAGAGGAGCCTGGCAGGCTACAGTCCATGGGGTCACAAAAGAGTTGGGCCTGACTGAGTGACTGAGCGTGTGTGCACACGAAGCTGTGGAGGCCTGGATGAATTCTCGGGGTCCACGGGGCCTCTGAGCATCTGGGGCAACCTGAAGACCCGGAAGCACCCGCTTTCCTCCCCCCACCTCCTGCTGTCATCAACAGGAATGCCTTTCAAACCACCTGTCTCAGCCCTGAGAAGGGGAAGAATCAGGAAGGAACAGCATTCCTGGTGAATTACGATCAGTACACCATGTCCAACCAGTCCATCCTAGAGGAGATCAGTCCTGGGTGTTCATTGGAGGGATTGATGTTGAAGCTGAAACTCCAATACTTTGGCCACCTGATGTGAAGAGCTGACTCATTGGAAAAGACCCTGATGCTGGGAGGGGTTGGGGGCAGGAGGAGAAGGGGACGACAGAGGATGAGATGGTTGGATGGTATCACCGACACAATGGACATGGGTTTGGGTGGACTCCAGGAGTTGGTGATGGAGGGAGGCCTGGCATGCTGCAGTTCACGGGGTTGCAAAGAACGGGACACGACTGAGCGACTGAACTGAACACCATGTTTACACAAAAGATGGCAAGGTGCTGCAGCAAACACGTGAGGTCCCCTTGCCTTATGCTGTCTGTGTGTGGTGTCCTGGGAGCGAAGACGGGCCCCCATCTCCCAAATGGCAAACTCAAAGCATGAGGGGTGCCTGGAGCTGTGTTGGGCATCTAGTGGTTTGCATCCAAATCTAGCCCACATTTACTATTTTGCCTTTCAAAGTCACCTCTATGTATGAACCCCTCAACCTTGCATTCGCTGCTTCTCAGAAGGCCAAGCCTGAAGCATCCACCTCCTGGTGTTTTTTTGTCAAGTTGCTCCCACTTCCTGGGCCACTGCCCCGCCTCTAACTGCCTGGTGAAATTCAACCCATCCCTCAAAGCCCAGCTCACATGTCACCTCTCCCTCCGGTTGGAATTCACCTCTGTCTCCCCAGCACTCCTTGTTTGGCCTTTTCACTCATTACTTTTTCTTGAGCAACGGGCTTAAGTCTCCCAGATCCTCACTTCTCTCCTCTGTGCATGGGCCTAAGAGCTGCAGTAGTCTTTAACCCTTTTCGGGTAGCGGACTTCTTGAAAATGCGATGAAAGCTCCTAGAAGAGCTACTGTTGACGGAAGCCCGCTGTGTGTCAGCGTCAGGCCTGGGATTTAGGACTTTTCCGTTCACTATTTCATGTGATGGGCAAGTCTCTGTAGCCAGGTGCTGCTATTACCCTCACGTTACAGATGAAGAAAGGAGGCGCGGAGAGGTGAGCCCCCTCTCCGCAGGTCACACAGCTAGTACCACGAGAGAGCCAGGTTTACCCCATGGCAGAGTCGGGTGCTCATCTCTGGATCCGCTCCAACACCCCGCTTTCAGCCTCCCTGGCCAGAGGATGAGGGGTGGGCAGGGCAAGACAACACACCGCACGTCTCCTGCAGTTTAGGGGTTCATGCACCTCTAAGCCACCACCTGTTCAGGTCAAGCAGGCCATCGCTGGGGTGCCATCTGAACGCAGGCCTGGCTGTGCCCTCGAGAGGGGTCTCGGTCCACATCTGGCGACCCAAACCTGTGGACCCCGGAGCCGGGGTCGAGGGTACAGGCTCGTGGTTTGGGAGCCGCGTCCCGGGTGCCGGGTCCCAGGAATGTGGGAGGGCTGGGCGGAGAGGGCGGGCGAGGCGGGGGGGCCTTCCTCTGCCCGCCGGGAGGGGAGCCGCCCCGGCGCACGCGGGTCGCGCCGCCGCCCCCTCCCAGCGGCCCGGCCGGCGGGGGCGGGGGCTGCAGCGGGAGGGCGGCGAGGGGCCGCGGAGCTCGGCAGCCGCCCGGCCGGCC